CCTCAGGCTGCCCAGGAGGCCTTTGGGGCCGGTTCCTGTCCCAGGCTGGGGAGGGAGGATTTCTACTCACTGATGCTACCCTGCCCCTGCCTCCTTGCTGACCCAGGCTGACCAGGGCCTGACCCCACCTCCTCCTCAGCTGCTCCACCCGTCTGGCCATCTTATTTCCATGGTGACCATTCCAGAAATTTAAAATGAAGGAAAAGGACAAACAGGTGGAGGCACCGCACAAGTGTGCTTCCCGGCCTGCGGGCCCCCTTTCCTGGCTGGTTGCTTAGTCCAGGAGCCACCCGTGCAAGAGACCTACCTGTGGGAGTTTTTCTACCCCTGCCCTTGTTACCCAGCATCCTTCCTAGTGTCTTTGATGGCTTCCTGAGGGGACTGAGTACAAGATTGTACAAGCACCCTCCTCCATGGGGCGCCTGCCCCTGCCCCTGCCTTCCAGGTGGGCACATGTCCCAGCAGCCATGTCGCAGCCTGAGGCGGGCGTGTAACCAGCAGGGCCAGCCAGAGCGGTATGCGGTGCCTTTCTGTAACAGTGTGCAGCTTGGGAACCAGGCTGGGGTCCCGGGGGCTCCCTGGTGGTGTGTGAGGACAGAGTGACAGGGCGGGTGTGGAGAGGAGCCAACTGGCCTGAGCCTGGTCCGAGGTCCACACCACCCTGGCCTCTACCCAGCCATCAAGCACTGTTTCCAATCAAGCCAGGCAGTGTTGCTTCTCCGAAAGTAGTGGGTGCGAAGCCCCTCCTGAGCCAGTTTCTACATCTGTGTAGTGAGCCTGCTACCCTCCTGGCAGAGCTGGAAGGCCCAGGTCCAGCCCAGCAGTTGCCCTGCAGAAGGCACTCAGCCAGGGGGGCTCTCGAGGACCCCCAAGACCACACACACACACACACACACGCGTGCGCGTGTGTGTGCGCGCGGCAAGCTCTGTGCATCGCACACAGGGCACTCTATGTACCATGCACACCACACATGCACTGCACCGTGTGCACTGCTTTCCCTGCACTGTGCCCCACAGGTACTGTCCAGTTGGTACACATGGTACGCTGTGCACACCACCCAGGCTGTGTGCTCAGTGATGGGAGTATGCCCTAGGGGGCTAGGCATGGAACTCGGAGACCTCTGGGTCCCTGCCTGCTCCCTGCAAACCCTTGAAGTGCTCACCTGCCTTCACCCAGTTTCTCTTCATCCTCCCAGCTTGGCCCTGCACAGGTGTTGGCCTGCAGAGTGAGGGGACTTGGCCCAGGTCTCAAGCCCAGAGGGGCAGAGGAGGAACAGGATGGCCAGGCTCTGGCCAGGAACTCACTGCAACCTGGACTGTACCACCCACACAGGGATGGGGCCTCACCTGGGATGTGGGTCCCTGCCCGCCGCCCTCCCCAGAACAGTGACATCCACTGCTTCAGCTGCCAAGTTTAGAGCACCTTTCCCCCCCTTGTACTGAGCCCAGGACCTTCACCCTCAGCTATGTCCCAGCCCTTTTAAAATATTTTGAGACAAGATCTTGCTTAGGCTGGGCTTGAACTTGCCATCCTCCTGTCTCATCCCAGAGTGTGGGGATCATAGGCTTGCAGCACCATTCCTGGCTTTGGGACACATTCTTTATGCACCAATGGAGAATTCATATAACTCTTCACTTGGGCTTTTTAAAAAAGCGTATTATGAAGAAAAAAAGAGGAAGGTTGTTTTCAATGAAAGGAGAAGGAAAAGGCGCTGCTGTAAAACCCCTGAGGTCTGCGATAGGATCCTGGGTTAGGAAGCTGGGGAGACGTGGGGCAGCCGGGCAGTGGGCGGGTGAGCGTGAGCGGATCCTGAGGCCCAGTCATTGGCTGGTGCGTTGTGTCTTGTGGTGATGCTGGGAGAGGACGCTTGAGGTGTTAGCCTGCAAGATTCAGATTCTCCGGTGCTCACATGGCTTCACAGAAGCACACGCAGAACTGAGGGAGTGACTGTAAGAGAGTCAGCCCTGGGCTAATCTGAGCCACAGGAGCAGCCGGGGTATGGTCCATCAGACTGACCTGCTGCTTTTTGGCTTGGCATGTTTCAGTTACAGAGCAGAGGTTTTGCTCACGTGGGCTCTCTGCAGCTTCCCCTCAAAGTTGCTGTGCACTCTGGGCCCTGCAGCAGGGGCTCCCCGCACACCTGCCCTGGACTCCCTCTGCTGGGCTCCTCAGCCAGAGGCCCGGCAGCCCAAGGGTCAGCACCTTGGACAGCGCCAAGCCCAGGGTGCGCGCCTCTGCGCGTGCTTGCCTGGGTGTGTGAGTCAGTGAGGATGCAGGGTCCCAGAAGCTGGCCGAACCAGGTCTCCCTCGCCTGCCTGCAGGTGAATCTGCTGACACCTGGCTGAGCAGCTACTACTGGGGGTGGGGGCTCTTCCCAGCACATGACTGAGCGATGGCTCTGAACCCCCGGGCAGAGCACAGCAACCTCCAGCAGGGTGCCCCAAGAGACCTGTGGGCCTCCAGGCAAGGGGCTTAAGCCAGACTTTTCAGGTCATTTCTGCCCAGCCCTCCCTCTAGGCCTGGAGGTGGGAGGGAGTCTTTATCTGACCGCCTCTCCCAGGACCTCACCCCAGGAGGCTGATTAGGGGAGCACCCCCCCGCCACAGCAGGCCATGGCAGTTGTCTAATTGTGAATGCAGGTAGCTGCTCAGTACCCTCAGAATTAGCAAGTGCCTAATTGTGCCTGCGATTATCAGCTGCACCCATAATTAACTGTGTGAGTGACTTTGTTACACATGTCATTGTGTATGCAAATCTGTGCCCGGGAAAAGGCTGGGGGAGGCAGCAAGGAGAACCAGCTCTGCCTGGGAGGGTCCTGGACTGGCCCATTTTCCAAGCAAGGGCACACAGCCTGCAGGGTGTGGTTCCCACTTAGGGTTCAGGTCACAGTGTCACTAAGCAGCAGCATAGCTTCCAGCCAGTGCCTGGCTGCTTCGTCCCTCAGAGCAGCCAAACTGTCCTCTCCTGGCGGCAGGAGGAAGGGCACCGAGGGTGACACTGGAAGAAGCTTATTAATGAAGGCCTTGTCAGTTCACAAGGGTGGAGCCCAGGCCTTGCTCAGTCTGAGGCCTGAGCTCTGTGGGTGTCACCTGTCTGCCCAGGCTCTAGGTCCTCCTGCTGATTGTGCCCCTGGGAGGCCCTCCCTGCTCCTGCAGAGAGTTCTGCTGCCTGGTCTTCAGGGGCCCCTCCAGGGCTGACTCCTTGGGACCCAGCGGAGGAGCCTGGGGCAGGCTGGGCTTGGTGTGCCCTTCCTCTTCCTGGCAGGGGGCTTCCTGGGGCCCCTGCACGGGCTGAAGTGGCCATGGGCCTCTGCATGTGGAAGCCCTGGCCATGGGCATCGTTCTGGGGAAGGCTCTGGAGCTTTCATCTCCTCCCCTAGAGAGGACAAGGTCTGGACCTCCGACCCCTGGGGTCCATGGTGACAGCTCAGCCGGGCAGGAGGCCCAGGGGAGGCCGGACCACATGCCAGCGAGGGCCAGGACACGCCAGGCATGTGAACCCCAGTAAGAGGACAGTGGCACTACTCAGGCCTGCGCTGGCACGGGGTTCACTGAGATGTGTTGTGACCAGATGTCATACCCAGGCCCCCAGCAAAAAGGGCCTCAAGCTCAGTGATAGCAGAGTCCTGCCACTGTCCCAGGAGGCCCATCCTGGGGATGCAGGCCCTGCCATGTGCTTTCCCTGGGGCAAGGCAGTGACAGGAAGGAGGAGGGCAAGGAAAGTGGGAAGAGGGAAGGTGCCGAGGACAGGAGGTGAGGGGGAGAAGCAGTGAAGTGAGCTGACTGGGAAGAGCCCCAAGGATGCACAGTGCGGGTGCAGGGCCAGCCCTGGGGGCAGGGCTGGGGAGCCAGAGGTGAGGAGATGCCAGGGCTCTGGGCCTCCATGGGGCCGGGCTCTGAGCTTGGTGGTTTTACCTGCTGCTGTCAGCTGTGGTGAGAGAGGGTTTACATCAGAGAATGTCCGTGGCCAGAGACCCATTGTGTGCATGTGCCTGTGTGGGAGCATGAATCGTGTGTGTCTGTGTGTGTGTGTGTGCGCGTGCGTGTGCGTGTACACCTATGCCTGTCCTTGAGCTCTGGGTGGCTGTGGTCCTAGGGGTGGAGGAGCCCACAGTGCCCAGGGGCTGGGTTCCCCTTCAGACTGCTGTTGGGCACCAGACCCTGCTGCTCTTCCTGGGCCTGCCTGGACCTTTCCTGCTGTTGGTTTCTGTGAGGCCCCAAGGGATGATATTTGGGGGAGGTGTAGGTGACTCTGGGACCTGTGGGCTGGGACTTTTGTCCCAAGCAAAGTTGGACAGAGATGGGGTGGGCTGTGGGTCCAGGCCTGACTCATTCTTTGCTGCCACATACGGCTCCCAGGAGTCTGGGAATGAATTTGAACCAGGTTTTCCATGGTGTTAATAAAGGTATGTGTGCTGAGGTACGAGGGAGAAGAAATTTTATTTAACTGTTTGTTAGCTGGACTTAGAGCTTCTAAAAACTTTGCAATATTTACACATAGGGCATGGGGGCCCCAAAAATATGAGAAGTGGGCTTGGTTTTGTTCATGTCTGTTTTCTCAGGGCCCAGGACAGTTCTGGGACATAGCATATCAGGGGCCTAAGAAGTGTTTGCTAGCTGGGTGTGGTGATGCACACTTATGATCCCAGCTACTCAGGAGGCTGAAGCAGGAGAATCACCAGCCTGAGCAACCTGGTGAGACTCTGTCTCAAAAAGTAAGAAAATGGCGGGATGTTGTGATGAGAGTACTCGCCGAGCATGAGGGAGACCCTGGGTTAATCTCCCCAACACAAATAAAATCCAATGCAGATCCCTTGGCCAGAACACCCTTTAGTGGGTGGTAGAGAATCTAAGGTGGGGCTCAGGAAGTCTGTTTGTTTAAGCATTTGCCGCATGAATGGGCCCTGAAGTGACACAATGTCCCTGACCGTTAAGCGGCTGGCTCTGGACACCACTGGCTCCTGGGATGCATGGAAGAAACAAGGCACACCGAGGCCAGCTACTTCAAAGGGGACTTTATTCACTCCTTTGGAGCAGTGTGCGAATGCCTGACTCCGCTCCAGTACACGACAATTCTGCAAAGCTGCTATTCCGTTTGGAACCAAGACCGCCTGACACTAAAAACACATCGAAAACATCGACTCTCTTCCCTTTTTTTTCCTTTTTTTTTTTTTTTCGGTACAAAATGATACAAACAACAATACAAAATAGTTGTGCTGTTGACGATTACAAAAGAAGTCGGAACGTTTGTCTAAGCGCGCAATGCTCAGGGTTTCGGTGTGCACACATCATTCTCCGGGTCTTTCCCAGGACAACCACAGTCATGCGGGCTGCTACACATTTGTCCATTTCCAAAAAGAAACATGCAAAAAAAATCAGAATGAAGTGAAGAGAAGGGAAAAGTAAAATGCGTTCCAGGCGCACACAGAGGTGCCCCCGCCAGGCCACTGCTGGGAGCAGGGCTGTGCTCTGCACAGGAGTCATTTTGATCTTTTGGTGGGATTTCTTTTCGTTTTGGTGGAAATCGAGACTCCCCTCCTCTGACTTTTTACCTCGGAGAAAACAGAGTTGTCATCTCAATGGACCATGGACTCACACTAGGGAAACTGAGGCACCTCTGAGGGCCTGACAATTGGCCTTCACCTGACACTGTGGTGGCGGGAGGCCTCGAATTTTGGATGTGCTGAAAGACACAAGAAAGAGAAAGCCCACTGGCCAGTCATGGGCGCACCAGGCTGACCACAGCCAGCGTGTTCTGGACACGTCGCCCTGCCGGGCAGGTTTCTCGGGCTCCCAGAAGGAAAATCCTCCAGAGGAACCGAGTCCTGCCCTTGCACTCTGCCAGCCCGACGGGGCCCCGACCACAGACATGTCGTATCTACAAACTACAGAAGAGACATTTGACACTGATTGTACGCTTGGCTAATGCTAAGTCATTGGCCTTGGAGTGGAGTTCCTAGATGGATCTAGGAGGGCCTGGGAACCCTACCTTTCTCTGGGGGGGCTGACCGGAGTGTGGGGTGAATAGGTGAAGCCATCCAGCTGTCAGGGGAGGGCCCCATGGGTGTCCGTACCGCTAGTGCTGCAGCCTTGGCCTGCCTTGGAGATTTAGGGGAAATGGGGAGGGGTCTGGCAGTGAGGAGCCAGAGGCCAGAGCATGTGGCCTCAGTCTCTCCTGTGGCTAAGTCCCGAGAGCCCAAGGAGGCCTTGGCATTTCAGAGAAAGCAGTTCATGGCTGCCTCAGCTCCGGATCATACACACACTTCAAACAGTTCACTCACACTCCTCAGGCTCAGAACTTCCGGAAGGATGAACTGTCCAAAACACAAAACAAAATCCCAGCTCCCATCCCCCAGCCCTGGCCCAGCAGCCCTACGGTGACCACACCCCCAGACACTCAGGACCATCTCATTGGCTGCCAGGCTCAAGCGATTTGCATAGCACAGCTGAGGACTGGGGACCCTCCCGGCCTCCTGGGAGCCATCTCCAGGCCTGGCTGGCTTCGGGGAGCGGTGCCCAAGCCCTCCCCAGGCGGCCAGAGCCCAGCTTGTACCCCACCTCAGCCCTGGGAAGGATGGAAGCAGGATGAGTTTGGTTAGGGGAACCCTGATGTCCAGCGGGACACCCACGAGTCCACTCTGGGGTGCCTTTAGGCCAAAGCTGTGTGGAGAAGGGGACAAGCTTAGCAACAGGGTAGGAACAGTCCAAGACCCTGATGGGGAGCATGCTGCCCCTGGCACCCCAGAAGCAGTGTGGGCTGGGGCTTGGGGAGGAGCCCCAAGAGGTGCCCAGGGCGCACGACCTCCCTGCCTGGGTGAGACAGAAAGTTGTCCAAGCACAGGACGCCTCGCTGGACACACGCCCCAGGCCCATTTTTCGCCTAGGGTCTGTGTCCTGCAGAACCAATCGCTCCACCCAGTCAGGCCTGAGCTGAGCGGTCCACGGCTCTACAGGCGTGGGTCCAAAGGAAAGCAGGTTCACAGTTCGTGGCCTGTGCAGGCCAGAGGCCTCCATGACCAGGTGGCTACTCGAGCAGGTCCTCGAGGTGCACAGCAGTTCACAAGTGTCCGAGCTCAGGGCAGATGGGCTGGGAGACAGAAGAGGGCTGCCCGAGTCCGCTGAGGGCGATGCTGCTACCGAGGCTGCTGCGTCCCTGGGAGGGCCGTGTCCAGCCATGGCGGGCTCTGCTGTCTGCTGCCCGCACGGCCCTGGGAGTGTGGGGTTGTGAGCAGTCAGGGCTGCGTGTGCTCACTGCCTTCCATGGCGTCCCCTCCGGTCCCATCCCTGGGGGTGGAGGCCTTGTGCCAGGGCTTTGCATGACACTGGCTTCTGAACAACACTCTCCTGGACCAAAGGTCGGGGGAAGCTCTGTGGCACTGGAATGACGGCTGGTCTGGCGGACTGGGGACACTGGCGTGGCCAAGGGCAGAGGGGACCCTGGGCCCGAGCAAACTATTTACAGCATCTGGGAGTGGGGGACAGCCACAAATTCAGGTGGAGTCAGATCCACACAGCCTCGGCTTTGGTCAAAGGCTTGGCTGGTCCTGGCCTGCCGGCCTTGGGGAGCCCCAAAGGGGCCCAGGACACTGCAAAGGCTGTTGGCATTTGAACCTCAAACTCTCACTTCATTTTGCTCTCAGTACAAAACAAAAACCCGGAAGGACTCCTCCCCCACTCAACCCTTGCTCCATGCTGTTTGAATGGCCCGGCCCGAGGTCTGGGGCAGAGGGGCTTGGGCTGTCTGCTGCTTCAGTCACTCCTGAGTTTGGGGATCTGACACGTGTACCAAAAGGCACTTTTGCTTTTTAACAGTGTGTTTGTCCTAGGAAATTCAAGTTGGGACAGTGCCTCTGGCTCTCCCTTCATGGTACGCAGCTGCTGCGGTGGCAGCAGGCAAGTGTCTGTGCTAGACAGCTCCTCGGGGGAGGGCGGGAGGGGCCTCCTGACACGGGAATGGCGCCGTCCGTCCGGTCCGTGTGTCCGTCTGCGGGTCCGCAGAGAGGCTCCGGAAGGCCGGCTGTCCCTGCAGTCCTGCTCCTGCTGTCCGAGCGCTGTTCTCATTCGGGTCCAAGGACAGAGGCTGGCTAGTCCTCCTCGCTGCCCCCGTACATGTCTGCCAGCTTCTTGAACCGGGGCCCCCAGTCGTTGAGGTAATCGTAGTCTTGGTCCCCGGAGCTGGACGAGTTCAGGGAGCTCACCGAGCCCGCAGTGGAGCCACTCCCTTCGTAGTCAAAGACCAGCAAGGAGTCATAGGGGGGCGCCGTGGGATCGTTGTCAGCAGCTCGCAGCCCCTGGGGGTCACAAAGACAGGGCTCAGGGCGGATGCTCCCTATCCCACCCAGGGCAGGACGAGGAGGGGCCTGGGACCTTCGCCCACAGGGGCCCTGCATTGCCAGCAGGGCTTTCCCGGCTGAGCAGGGCCTGGGTCTGACAGTGGGATGGATGTGGACGGGTTGGATCGCGTCCAAAAGCTGTGGGGCACGGACACTCTCCTGGTGACAGAGCGGTGTGACCGTCATGTGCTGTGACTAGAACTCAGGCCTGCCTCTCCCAGTGCCCCACGCCAGGGCCCGGGCTGCCTTAAGCACTGAAGGCAGGGCAGGATGCACACCCAGCTCCCTTGCACCCACAGGACTACTCTGTTCAGGAGCAGCAGGGGAAAGAGTCCCTGGTGCCCACAGTGGGCTCTGGCTGGCTCCTTCCCCAGCCTGCCTGTGCTCCTGGATCAGCCGAGTGAACAGTTTGCCCTCAAACTGTGCCCCTGAGTTGGCTTTCAGGGAAATCCAAATAAAGACCAGAAATTGATTTAAGCTAGCTGGGCGTGGTAGTGCACCTTTGTAAATCCACCACTCTGGGAGGCTGAGGCAGGAGGACTGCAAATTCAAGCCCAACCTGGCCAATTTAGTAACTTAGTGAGATCTTGTCTCCAAAAAAGGTCTGGGGATGGAGCTCAGAGCAAAGGCCCTGGGTTCGGTCAACTCCAGTGGGCTGATGACAACGGCTCCCTGCTGCCAGTTTAGCAAGTGACTGGATGTGTAAGTCACTGTGGGAGGTAGGGAGTCGTCCCCAGGCACCAAGAGCTGTGCACCAAGCCGAGCAAATGGACCTGGGGGTCTGCCTTCTTCCCACGCTGTTGGTGCTGCTTGAAGGAACCCTGGTGGAGTGTGGCCAGGCCTGGCCAGGCTTCGGGACACTTCCCACATCCTGCAGCACAATGGGAGCTGCCTCACACCTGCAAGGAGCCTGCAGAGGGCTGGGGCTTTTCTACACCCTGGGAGGAAGGGAAGGGTGTAGCTAATAGGAAAAGACTTCTCTCAGATTCTGGGGCCAAGAGGGGACAAGATGGTCACATATTAGGACTCAAGATCCATCATCTTAGAGACAGAGGAGGCTCGGAGCTTTGCTTGCCCTGACAGCTTGGGCACAGGGACTAGGGCTGAGCTGCACACACCTGCCTACCTCTGGGGCACCTACAGGGCTGGCCTCAAGGCCTCCACCTCTCCCTCACTGCAGTAATTGCTGCCTTTCTGTCTCCAGGAGACATTTTTCTTTTTCTTTTTTTTTTTGGTACTAGGGCTCCAACTTGGGACCTTGTGCTTTCGAGGCAGACTGTGCTGGAGACATTTTTCTTCGGGTTGATTTTGCTGTCTTTTGCCTAGCTTCTCAAATCATGGGTTTTGTTCCTTTATGTCCGCTCTTTCCAATCCCTACAGATTTAAGGCTCTTTCCTAAAGTGTATTCTCTGAGTACCCCATCCTGCCCTGGGAAGGGTGCTCTTCTCATCTTTCAGGGTTGAATGGTTTGTAGTTTGCATCTTTAAATTCTTCTAAGAGTTATTTCAAAGGGGGGGTTCCTCTAATCCCAGGACGCTGGGAGGCCGAGGCAGGAGGATCACCAAGTTCAAGCCCAGCCTGGGCAATGTAGACTTAGTGAGACCCTGTCTCAAAAATTTTTTTTAAAAAGGGCTAGCGATGGAGTTCAATGTGAAGACCCTGGGCTTAATCCACAGTTCGCAAAAACCCAAACAAACTGGGGGGCTTTTAATTGTAGGTGGTGGGGGTGGACTTCCTGAGGTTTCAAACACTTCGCTGGGTCACACAGTCGGAGCAGTGTGGGCCCTGCAGCACTTCTGCCTTTGGCTGCAACACATCTCCTTTCTGGAGTGTTCTCAGCCCAATCGCCCGTGGGTTACAATGTTTATTTTATTTTACTTTTGGTACTGAGTTTACTAGGCAGGCGCGGGGGTTACAGTGTTTAAACAAAATCTTATAAAGTTACAGCCTGGCATAGGCTGAAGTTCAGGTACCACTGACCCCTAAATAGGGAGGGGAAACACAGCACCTCTCCCTGCCCTCCAGGTGGGCTGGGCGGGGACACGAAGGGAAGCACTGCTGGACAGAGCGTCCCTCTGCTGCACCCTAGGAAGACGGCGCGCGCAGGCGCGGTGGGGCGAGCACTTGAAGTGCAGACTGAGCGTCCCTGCCGTTATGAGTGTGTGCAGCTGGGAGCCGTGGGACATCTTTGGCCCTGGTGTCCGCGTTCTTGGTTCTCGGTGCCTTCTCTGCTGCTGCAGTGGCCCTGGTGGCCCTGGTGGCCCTGGTGGCCTGGAATTCCTCTTAAGCCCTGAGTGCCCAGAGACGAGAGTCTGTCCTTCTGGGCAGGGCCTAAGGGGTCTGTCCGCTCCTCGCCCTGCCCGGCTGTCGGGTGTGCTGGTAGGATTTATTTCTACAGGAGACCCCAGGCCTGGGTCCTCCCGCTGCTGGGAACCCACCTCATTGATAAAGTCGCCGATGTCACCTGGGTGGGGCACCACGGGCCTCACGGGGTACTGGGGCTCCGCGCCCACCGGCCGCTCATCCACCCGCCGCACCCCGGGGGCCTTGCTCAGCACGTGCTCCATGGCTTCCGGCTGCTGCAGCTGGCTGAGGTCATAGTCCTGGGGCAGAGGCGGTCGTGTGTCAGAGAGGGCAGAGTCCGATGCCCAGCTCGCCCTGTTCTGATCCCGCACTGAGGTCCTGAGCCATGACCTGGTCTCCGAGGGTATCTGCCGTCCCATCTGGTCTTGTCCCTGTGCCGGACTGCCCTCCCGCGGTCCCTGTCTTTCCGTTCGCCCACTGTCTGCCGGTGCTCTGGGCACGCGTGGGGTCTGTGTGCCCGCTGCCCTGCCGCTGCACTGCACGGACGGCTTCAGGCCTGGGCGCCCTCTGCCGGGCAGCTCCGGGAGCCCTGCCCTCAGGAGTGTTGGGCAGCACCGACCGGGGCCTCTCCTTCAGGGCCGGGGCAGCGCTGGGCTGGGGTTGGCGCCCGAGGCGGGAGGACACAGCCTCCGCCTGGCTCTGCACGTTCCGCGAGGGGCCCACAACGCCCCACGCCGGGAGAGGCACAGAAAGGCTCGCGGAGACCCCGGAGCCCAGGAGACCCCGTGCGGAGCCCCCGTGCGGCCCACCTGGTCCTCCTCGCCGCCGCCTTCCTCGTCGTAGGTGAGGATGTTGTCCCGCACGTCGTCCTCGGGGTCGATGAGCAGCTGCTTGGTGAGCCGCTCCTTCCCCCGCCGCCTCATCCACATGACGAACAGCAGGACCATGGCTGTGGGGGGCCGCACAGTGAGCGCTGTGTGCACGTCCGGGGGCGGGGGTGCACACAGCTGTGCGCACGCATAGCCCAGCACGTACACAGCTGGGTGCACGGCTGCCATGCGTGCATGTGCAATCAGGTGTGTGCCTGTGTGTGCGTCATGTGTGTGCGTGTACACCTGTGGAGACCGGAACGGTGTGCACACACGTGCGTGTCTTCAGTGATTTGTGTGCCTGAGTATGTTTCATGTGTGTCCGCATACATGCTCGTGTGTGCATGAGGAAACGCATCATCTGTACCTGTGCACAGTGTGTGAGCTCACATGTTGCAGTGTGTGTGAGGCACACGTGTGTGCATGCCTGTGTGCCTGTGTGAGTGTATGTTCAGCTTCCAGGGCAGGCTGGACTGGCTCCCGCCCCCTGGCCCACTCCCTGCTCAGCACCAGAACCGGGTGCTAGCCCTTTACCTGCCACTGTGTCCTAGGGGACTGGGTCTCCCTGCCCTTGGGGATACCAGGATCTGTGCGTGTGCCAGTGCCTTGTGTCATATTTGTATACAACCTATGTGCATAGTCCCCTCCCTGTGTATTTTTTTTTTGGTACTGGGGATCCAACTTGGGTCCTTTCGCTTGCAGGGCAGGCGGTGGAACCACTGAGCTAAATTGCCTGCCCCTCCCTGTGTATTTTAAGTCGCTTCTAAATGACTTCCATAACTGATACAATGTACACATTATGTAAATAGTTGTTACACCATGTTGTTCAGGGAATAATGATAAGAAAAAGTGTACATGTTCAGCACAGACACCCGTATTTTTCTGAATATTTTCGACTTCAGTTAAGTGAATCCACAGACATGCCTCCTCTCCCTCTTCCCACGCCCCCCACTTGTGGGGTTTTGGGAGATACAAGAAGCCACAGGAACATGTGCCTTGGATGTGGCCAATGGGCACAGTCCATTCCGTGGCTGGTGATTGGCTTCCAGGAGAGCATGTGACCCGAGCCAACCCAATAGGAGAGAGCCCTGGAACTTCAGAGATGTTGACAGGGGGTGTCCTTCCCCCAGCACCCACTTGAGAGCCTCCTGCAGGCATTTAGGGCCCCAGGGAAACCAGGTTTGGGTTACAGGGGCTCTTGGGAGGCAGAGTGGGGAGAGGGGAAGGGGCCAGGCCCGCAGCCCTTGTGGGCTTGGCAGGAAAGAGCAGCCCCTGAGGGCTGGTTTGTGGGGCTTCTGAGATTTCTGGCAGAGAGGATGAGGCTGAGCCACACGCTGAGGTGGGACCCGGGCCCTTGCCTGGCCATGGCGCTGGGTGCGCTCGCACCCCGAGGCCCCATGCTGTGCTGCCACACTCACTCAGCAGGATGACGATGCAGATGAGGATGGCCACTATGGCGCCTGTGCCCAGGCCGGCCGCGGCCACCGCGCCGATGGTGGTGCAGTCACCGTTTTCATCGCACGGGCACACCTTGACCTTGATGACGGATGTGTTGGACAGGGGAGGGTTCCCAGAGTCTGTGACGGTGATGGGGACCTCGTACACCCCGGCCTCCAGGTACAGGATGCGCAAGCTCAGCTGGGCATAGTCACCTGGAGCAGAGCAACAGCAAACCTTCGCCAGGTGGGCAACAGACGGGCAGCCCTCCTTCCAGGCAGGACTGGTCCGATGCATGAAAACAGACCCCCTGGTTTCACACACACACACACACACACGCACACGCACACATGCACTACACCATTAAGTTAAAGACAACGGCAGTGCAAGTAAAAGGCAAATTGCAACATGAAGGGTAAAGAAATAATTTCCTGACTATATAGAGTTTTATCAAATCAATTAGGGAAAAACCACTCCAAAGAAAAACAGGCAAAACCACCAGTGTTCACAAAAGAAACTAAAACAGGAATACATATATGAAAAATTTATGGTAGTCAAGAGATGTAAGTGGAAGCCATAGTTTTGGCTATGAAGTCGGCAGTGCTTTGGAAGCGATAATATTCGGCGCTGGAGAAAGCTGGTGGAAACAGGTGCTCTGCTGGCGGAAGCAGAGACTGGCACAGCACTGCTAGGGTTCATGCTCACAGCGCTGTCCACACGAAGAATCTGGATGCCTTTTAGGCCCTAGATCATGTCCAGGGCAGCGTCTAAGGGGACACCAGGGCAGGAAGTGAGCAGGGGCGGTGTCACAGCCCGTGGTGTGCACACTGGTGAACAAGAGCAGCCAGGGAATTAACAGCTGAGGCACAGCAGCAGTGTCCCCGCTGTGTTCGGGAGCTGCCCGGAAGGGGGAGGGCTGGACAGCCCCCTTCTAGCACCCTCTCCTGTCTGCTGTGTCCTGTCCGGGGGCAGGTGGGGCCCTGGGGGCTGCACTCCAGGACCTGGGTGCCCCCCACCCCGTGGCTGTGCTCACCATTCAGGCGGGTAATGGTCCAGTTTTTTCGCACAGTGGCTGGGATGAAGGGCAGCTCGAAGACGTAGGGGCCGATGTTGGGGTCGATGTCGGCGTCGGCCGCAGTGATGTTGATGGCGTTCAGGCCTGGCTTCTCGCAGACCTGCGCCTCCTTGGGCAGCAGCTCCGGGGCATTGTCGTTGATGTCGATAAGATAGATCTGCAGAGTACCGGTGCCACTGGCCGGGGGGATCCCTGCGGGACAGACACAGGGTGACCATACAGGGCCACACCTGGAGCTCCATATCCCTGGCCAGACCACAGCCCCGGCAGAGCAGAGGCACAGGGGCCACACACAGACACACCAGGGCCCCGGGACAACCCTGAACCTGCCCGACAGCCGAGCACAGCCACACCGACATCCACGATCGCACATAGCACAACACACCCCTCCTGACCCAGCCTGGCCGACCCAGCCCTCAGGAAGCCCAGAGGTGTCCCCTGTGCCAGCCCAGCCCAGGGAGGGCTCTGAAAGGCCCTGTGGCCTGCGCCCTGCCCCCAGGTATCTCTCCCCAGCCTTTCCTTGCCTCCCTGCCTTTCCTGAGTTTCCTGCCCAGCTAGGCTCAGAGAGGCCGAGTGTCCTGAGCCCAGACACACAATCAAAATGAACGACTGAACCAGGTGTGGTGGCAAATCCCAACACTCGGAAGGCTGAGGCAGGAGGATCACACTTGGGCAGCTTAGTGAGATCCTGTCTCAAAATAAACTTTAAGAAGGGCTGGGGATGTAGCTTAGTGCTCCCTGGGTTCAATCCCCAGTACTGCAAACTGCTCTGGGCACAAACTGTCCCAGGAACTCCAGAGATGGGCTTTGGGTAGAAGTGGTCTCCACAGATGCCCTGTTTGCCTCTGGCCACAGTGTGAGCAAGGGGGCTCTGCTGGGGGGTGTCCTTGTCCCCTGAGCCCCCATGTGCCCAGCCCCACCGTCCCTGGCCAGTGGTGCTGGTGGACACGTGTGTGGGCAGGACATGGGCGAGACCTGGCCCCAGGCTTGGAGGTGGCAGCAGTAAGCGCAGTGTTCAGACTGTGGCAGGGTCCCTCCTGCCCCTACGTGACAGCAAGTGTCTGCTGAGGCTGGCAGAGTGCGTGGAGACTTTTGCTGCAGTGTGGCTGTCCCATCTGCCTGGAATGCAGCCCGATGCATTCAAGGTCTGCACACCACATAGTGCTCGCCTTTGAAGCGGCTTTCGTAACTGGCTGGGAGAGCCAGGCTGTGTTTGCTAACGGGGCTTCCCCTTCACCTGCTCCGCCCAGCCCCCAGGAGCCCCCAGGCCAGGCACTCGTCCCAGGCTGGCGACCAGGGCGGCTTCCTGTGGGGCTGGGGAAGCCTGGCAGGGTGGGTGCCACGCCAGGCTTTCCGTTGCTATGGGACCAGCTTCGGGGCCACAGCTCCTCTTGCTGATGTGTCTCAGCTGCTCAGCAGCTCCCAGCACGCTTGGCGTGGTCCTAACTCTGGCTCACCCTCCCACCCCACTGCCCCTGGCCTCTCCTGGCCACGCGGGTTGTGGTTCAATGGCAGGCAGCTCCTCTCAGTCCAGGGGAGCACTGCCTGGTTACTTGGTCCCATCTTCCTCTTTCCTCCCGTCTCCATCCTGAAGTTACCTGATGCCCAGTCCATCTACAAGACTACATTTCCCAGCACTCCCTTCAGCTAGATCTGGCTGTGTGGCTCCTCCGTGGTGCTTTCTAGAAGTGCGCAGGAGGGCAGCGGGGTGCATTCGTCCTCCCTGCGCCGCTTTCTGTTTGGCAGAATGCAGTTGTGACGAGTGGAGCACTAGCAGTTTTCTGGACCGTGCTGTGGCACAGCGGAGACTGAGGCTGCTGAGCAAGGCTGCATCCTCAGACCTGACCCTGGGCTGTCCACTTCCAGCTTGTAATGTGAGAGAAATCAGCCCTCGGCTCTGCTCACATTAATGCCATTCTAACAAAGCTGAACTCCGCCTTGCAGACACACCTGGGTGTTGGCCCTGAGAGGCAGGAACTGAGCTCGGCTGATAAACAGCTCTGAGGCTACCGTGCAGGAACCTTAGTGATGGCGGTGAGCGTTGGCTCAGTGCTCATTATGCCAGCAGCCTGTCCTCTGGTCCGTGCCACAGCTCATTTGCGGCTCAGGGAGAAGAAACAGCTACCAAGGGGCCTGGCTTCTTCCCATCGGGGAGCAGTGGTGCTGGGCTGATGTGTGGCCCCAGGGTCTGCTGCTGTCTATCCCTAGCCCCATGCCTAACCCTAACCCTAGCCTCAGGAGTGCTCAGCTGTCCTTGGGCTGCAGGGCCCGTGGAGGGGCCTCCAGGCCTGGCCCAGGGCTCTTGATGCAGCCCACCATCCCTCACTCACAGGCTCTGGGGTCCTCCCCTGTGCCACCTGGCCGGCCTTCCCTCACTTTTTGGTCTGCTCAGCCAGGGCCGCAGCTACAGATGTTAGAAAACTGTGGATCTGGTTCTAAGGCCTCCACGTATGGGTGGGGAAACTGAGGCACTAGCTGTTCATGTTGCAGGATTAAGCAAGGGCAGGCTGGGATGGCCTCTGAGTCCCCAGAGCCACGAGTGCGTGAGGGACTGGCACACGCCGCCTGAGTGGGGGCTGATGGACCCAGGAGAAGCGGGGCACAGGTGGGGTAAGTCAGGGTGAATGAAGGGGGCCTGGCTGGGGGACAGGGGGGCCAACTGGGCCCTTGCTCATGGCGTCTGCACAGACCCAGCTGGCCCTCTGCAGCTCTGACGCCTCTTGCCATGCCTCCCTCCCAGGCAGCCGCCCTTATCCACAACACCGGACCCGGACGGCCGCCTCCCGGGAGCAGGGCGCACCGTTGTCAGCTGCCAGGAAGGTTGCCTCGTAGACGTTGTTTCTGATGTAGAGGGACTCTCGGTCCAGGACAGCCGCCGTGGTGATCTGACCGTTGGAGGCATTGATGTGCAGCCAGTTGGCTGGGTCGGACAGCTTTGAGTACCTGCGGGGTGGGAAGGGGAGGCCAGGGCTGGGGCACCCGGTGCTCTTCACCCTGGGGGCCCAGCCACGCTTCCCAGGTGCAGCCCAGCCTTGCAGACCTATCCGAGGTTGGGGCCCTCCTCCCCTTGCTGCCTGGACTGCCTGGGTCTTGCGGCTCCCTGGGCACTGCAGGGCTCCTCTCCTTGGATAACAGGGCTGGGGTGGGGAGCCCCCTGCTGGACAGGCTGGGCTGCGCACCCACCTCACAGCCTGCTGCATGAAGCGGTCAGGGTCCACGGCAGAGAAGGTGGTGAGCGCGGTGCCAGCTGGCACACCCTCCTCCAGGCGGATCAGCTTGCGGTTGGACGGAAAGTAGGGTGCCTCGTTGATGTCCGTGACAGAGATGGTCACACCCGCCGTGGACTGGAAGGACATCTGGATCCCGCTGGCCAGGGGTGCCTGGTTGGACACCATCACGGTCAACATGAAGGCCCTGTTCAGCTCATAGTCCACCGCCTGCAAGGGAGAAGGGGCCGGTCAGTCTGCACAGCCAGCCCTGCCCTGCCCTGCCCTTCCTGCCTGCTCTGTCCCCCGGTCAGGGCCTGGTTTCTGGTACCCAGTGTCCTGTCTCTGGCTTCCTGTGGGTTTGGCCAACGGCAGGAGATGGAGGTTGGTAAAGGGCCCCAGGGACTGACGAGGTAGGAACAGGGCTCCTAGGGGCCCCTGCCCTTCAAGGCGGCCTCTTCTCTGCTGGGAGCACTGCGCTGTAGATCACTATGGCCAGGCCTAACTGGCCTCCTCCCGAGGACGAGGCAGGGCCCTGTGTGGAAAGAGGAACCCACAACCTTGTTCACTTTCTTGGATGGACGAGGCAGGGGCCGGAGGGAGGAGAACAGGTGACAAGAGGGTGTGGTGCAGCAAGGCCTGGCTGAGCAGAGGGCCGTCTTCCTCCCCGCCCATTGGCCATGAAACCATCAAGCGCGATGTCCTGAGACCCTAGCCACTCTCCCTGTCCCTGTCCCGGGCACCCCCTTACCTCCCCCTGTGCTTCCCTTATCGCTACTCTATAAGTAAAGGCTGCTGTTGCCGGTCCTTCCCTCCCATCAGGAGGAAGGCTCCGCCTGGCCCCAGCTTTTGTGTCTCTTTGTCTGTCTTTGCTTCATCCCTCACCGTTCTCCCTCTGGCACAGGGCACCCCTGGGAGGAATGGGCTGGGGGGTCCTCCAGGAGGCACAGCCACTGGTGTCTGAGCGGGCTTGGAGACAGGGTCTCTGTAGACGCAGCTATACTGATGGGGAAGTCAAATGTCTCAAGATGGGATGGAGAAGGTGGGGGGGTTGGGGCACAGACACAGGCAGAGGCTGTGTGCAGACAGAGAGGCCTGGAATGATGGGGCTCCGAGCTGGGGAGCCGCAGAAACTGAGGGGGGACAGATGCTCCACAGGGGCTCCTGAGGGAGCACAGCCCTGTGGCACCTTGACCTCAGAGCCCTGGTATCCAGAGCTGCAGGGAATGCAGTTCTGCTCTTTGTTTCTTTTCCTTTTGTTGTTGTTGCTGTTTTAGTACTGGAGGTTGAACCCAGGGCCTTGGCACCGAGCTACACCAATGCATTTTTTACTTTGAGACAGGGTTGCACAGAGCTGCCTGGCTGGGTTTGAACTCATGACCCCCCTGTCTCAGCCTCCCAGAGTGCTGGGATGACAGGCGAGCACCATGCCTGGCTGATTCTGCTGTTTTAACCCCACCAGTGTGTGTGGTCTGTTACTGCGATCCCGGGACCCCAGCACACCAGTCTGTCCTCTTGGTGGGCCAGGCCCTGAATGACTGCTGGAAGCTTCTACAGCCTGTGGTCAGAGGTGCGCTGTCAGAGAAGCTCTGCTCAAGTCTGCGGTGCGCATCTGGGCTGAGGGGAGTTGCACAGAGGTTTTGTGGGGTCTGAGACTCAGAGCTGGCCAGCAGCGAAGCCCACAGCAGTCTCCAGCGGGGGGCTGGGGGCACCATATGACAGGATGCGTTTCAATCACATTCAAAAATTCCCCCTGGGCACACACCAGGTAGCATGTACAGATCACAAGGTTATGGGGAGAGGCCACATCTGGGACCCCAAACCCCATGTCTACTGTCAGCTGTGGCCAGCTCGACAGTAGGGCTGCCTGCAGCTGTGTGGAGTGAGCACCATGCACGCCAGACCCCAGGCTCCCTGGGAGGAACCCAGAGGCTGAATGCTCTGCCCCATGGCGGCGTTAGGAGGCGGAGACCTTGGCCTGGTGCATTGGTGCCCTTGTAACCCCAGCTCAGCCTGGGCAATATAGTGAGATTCTATCCCCAAATAAGAAATCAGAGCTGGGGGTGTGGTGCAGTGCTAGAGCGCTTACCTAGCACGCGTGAGACCCAGGCCCAGTCCTCGTACAGACACTCCTCGTTTAACCACCTAACCTGCTAACCTGCTTGACAACTGTTCGTTTTTTTTGGTACCAGGGATCGAACTCAGGACCTTGTGCTTGTGAAGCTGGCAGCGGCGGCACCAGTGAGCTAAATCCCCAGCCCTTTCGTGACTGCTTGTACTTTCCACCTGCTGCTCCCCCTGTGACTGTCCTTTTTTGTACAGTTCTGTGCATCTTGCTTATAGAGCCCCAATGTCTTTTCTGTACAGTGCACCTTGTTTACAGTACTGTAATTTTGTGGATTGTACTGTACAGTGCTGTAGTTTTCTGTTCTGTCATACATTACAGTCCTGCATGTAGGAGTTATGCAGATAAAAGCAAAGTCATCAGTTTGGAGTTTCCTTTGACTGTTTCTTTGTTCTGAGTGTTGTAATGCACACACTTCACAGCTCCTCCTTTACCGCCTGGTGAAAGGAAAGGCACATGGTTGTTACTCAAGGAAGAGCGGTCCCGTGGAGATGGCAAGGACTTGATGCCGTCCTGAGGCACAGCTGGTGTGGCTGGGTCCCGCTGGCTTTATGAGGGAGGAGAGACCAGGACACAGGTGCAGGGCCTGTCCCTGGGGCGCCAAGGATTCTGCCAGCAGCAAGACTGTCACCAGATGAGGTCCCTCGACTCGACCTCCGGAACCACAGACAAAAATGAACCTCTCTTCTTGATAACTGACCCAGCCTGTGGGACTGGGCTGGAGGAAGACAGTCTGAGCCCCGAGGGGAGAGGTCTGCAGCCCCTCTCTGAGCAACAACCACACCCAGAGTGGAACAGGGTGCTGTGCAGCAGTCACAGTTCCTCACTGTTCCTCCTCTAGGGCCAAGGAAAACAACTCAGAGGAGGAAAACCTTACTCTGGCCTGTGTCTCAGCGGGTTCAGTCCGTGGCCTGCTGGTTCCTTTGCGTGGGCCTGAGCTGAGGCAGAAGCATCTGGGCTGCAGGGGGTGGGAGAAAAGCTGCTCACCTAGAGGCAGCCAGGAAGCAGAGAGCAGAGGGCCAGAGAGGGAGAGGGGATAGGCCCGGGACTCCGTCCATCCCCAAGGCTGTGCCAGAAAAGGCCATGACCCTCTGCCTTGTAGGCTCCACCCTGCTTCCCCCACCTCCCCAAACAGCATCTCGTCAGATGCCATGGGGTTAATCCAGCTGGGCAAGTTCCAGGCCTCGGGTCCAGTGGCTCCCAGCAGTCTATCAGCTGGCAACCAAGCCCATGAGTTTGGGGACATTTCAGATCGAGACCATAGCACTGCATTGTATTTGTTCACAGTTTCAGAAAGAAACTCAGAAAGCATAAGGCAACACTGGAAGAAACGGTCACTGTGGACAGGGGAAGGAAAGCAAGACGCCTCTGCGGGTGACTGCCACACGCTCCTCACCGGAAAGCCTGGGCTTGGAGACCTGCTGGCCTACCTTCTCACCGCACAGGTATGACAGTGGGATTGCACAGAAAGCAACCTCCAAAGTATGCAAAATCAAGCATCCCTCAACTGGAAGCATAACCCCAAGGAAATCCCACCCCAGTGACAGGACCCCTGAGGCAGCAGTGGTTAGAAAGTAATCACAAACTCATTCTGCCTTCTCGCTGTTGGTAGTGATTCTGGATTTGGTATTTTTAACATTTTATGTATATCATAGGGTAAAGTAAATAAACAATTATGCTAATGATGTTAAGAACCAAGATTTCCAATGCATGAAAAGTGAGAAACAAAGATAAAATTTACACAGTTAAGTAGAAACGCTCTGAAGTTAAATTTGAATCAAATACCCTTTCAGTCAGGGGAATATGCCGCCATGCCCCGGCCGGGCACACGCACTGCGGCGACCCTGGCCTGAGGTGGGAAAGCAAGCTGAACTCAGGGCTGCACATGGGCCTGGGGACAGGGCTGGAGGGAGGACAAAGGGAACCCACAGGGAACCCACGCATTCTTAGCAACAGAAACGAGAAAATGCAGATGCAGCAACAACAGCACCTCCTGTGGCAAAGGATGAGATGAGCAGGCTGAGGGTCTTGAGGCTGCAGCAGCTGCAGGAAACCTGGCCTCACCTTAGGCCAAGTCAGCAGCACAGAGGGGCTCTGCTGTCCCTCTGTCTCTCTGGCCTCTACCTTCCTCCTCACGGCTTCTCTCGCTCTGACCCTCCCATCTCTTTAAAATTCTGTTTTCTTTTTGAAACAGGATTCACTATGTAGCCCAGACTGGCCTCAAACTCATGGCTATCCTCCTGCCTCAGCCTCCTGAATGCTGGGACCACAGGCGTGGCCACCATGCCCAGCTCTGCCTCCTTATAAAAAGCCCTGGAGTGTAGTGGGCCTGCCTGGATAATCTGGATCGTCTCCCGTCTCCCACCTCAAGACCCCAGCTTCGGCTCCCCTTCAGTCTCTCATGCTGTCTACCATGGTACAGCTTCCTGGAGCATGGGCACCCTTGGGGGGCTACTATTGAGACCCCACAGACCTGTGTCTCAGAGCACCCACAGGCCTCATGCATGAGGGAAGCTCCTCTGCACAGGAAGCTTCCAGCTAAGGGATGACAAGTTTAAAAGCACCCCTTGTATCCTAATTCTCTTGGACCGTGATTTATCACCAACATGATACAAGCAGCGGGTGCACTGGTAGACGCTGGGCATCTGCAGGGACGGGGCATCAAGTTGGCAGAGGGGATCAGGCTGCTCAGGCTGCACTGTGGCCACCGGCCCCTCCTCAGGGACTGACTTTCAGGTCCACATCCTCCCTTGGGTGTGGGGCAGTGGGGACCAGACTCATGGCACAGGGGCCGGGAGACAGCCTGAGTGTGGGGGCCTCCACAGGCCGGGGTGGCATGTTTGAGATGTTACAACCAAATGCCATGCAGGGAAGCTGTCTGGCTCAGATCTGAATAACTGGATTGCAAAAACCATCTTAAGGGAAACCATATAAACTTAGACAATAAGGAGATATAGTGACTTGGTTAGGTGTGACAGTGGTATGTGGCCATGTAAGCAAATGTAGTTTTGAGAGTGATGCATCCTGACATGTTTAGAAGTGAAGGAACATGAGGTCTGGGAAAGAAAAAAATACACTTCAGCAGGCTGGGAATTTAGCTTAGTGGCACCATGCCTGCCTCGAAAGTGTAAAGTCCTGAGTTCAATCCCCGGTACCAAAAACCCCCCAAAAACAAAAAAACAATTCAGCAAAATATGCAGGTGAAGTATTCCAGATAGCTAAATTAGAAATTATTATAAGGCAGTTAGATAAAGCTGGGCTCTCAGCATAGAAAAACAATTGAGGCACATTCACTGGTTAGCATTATAAAAGGAAAAGAGGTACCACTTCCCCTAGCGATGAATAGCAGTGATTGATAGTCTAAAAAGACAGCAATCTCCCAAGCCCATTTCCTCTCTGGAAATTCCTTGTATGTGACACTTGTTTTCCCATCTGATCCCCGTTTAATCAATATTACCTGGGTGACTGGTAATATCCTCCACCTCATGCCCACCTTGTGATTTCCTACTGAGTCTTTCACTTTTGTCTCACGTTGAACCCGCCTCCCCTCATGGTTTTGCTCAATAAAATGCCTTTGAAAAGGGGGGGAGGCTGGCAGCCCACTTTCCAGTTCCCCTTCTGTCTCTCCTAGACAGGAGCTTTCTTTCTCTCAATAATTTTTCCTGCTCTTAACCTCTGTTGTTCCTAGAATTCATCCTTCAGTTTCAGAGAGCAGGATCTGGCGTTTAGGGTACCGGGCAAGTTTGGGTGGTCAAACTTCCCTCTCTCCCCTGCTGTCAGAAGCACGTGGCAGTTGGTTTCACATGGTTGCTGGGGTCCTTGCTTCTGGGCCTGCCTGGAAACCTTGTGGTGAAACTTAGAGTGGCGAACGTAGAGCAGCTTTGGTCTGGAGCCCATCTTCCGCCCCCGAGTTGCTGTGGGCGGAGGCCCCTGGCTCTGGGCCTGGCCCCACCTGGGCAGCTGTGGCAGGCCTGTGGCTGGGCACACACGAGCCCAGGGGTGCCACAGCCGCCATGTGTTTGAATTTGGTGAGCTCTATGATCACACACTGGCACATCAGACTGGGGCGTCTCAGCTACTGCTACTGAAGACAGTATCTGAGTGCGAAAAGAAGGAATTTAGAGATTAGGTAGCAACTGCGCCTGAGCAGGGGCTGTGCTTGGTGCCTCTGCCTCCTCAGCACTGAGCCATGGAGCGTGGGACAGGCTGCTGCCTCTCTGCTGCCTGTTCTCCCGCAGAGGGGCCTGGTACCCACAAGCACCACCCGGGGGACCTTCGATGGCCCAAGCTGACCTCAGCAGAACGACTGGACGCTGCTCCCCTGCGGGCCTGAGGCTGCCGGGCCGCGGAGCCTATTGTGGCTGCAGCCCTCCCCAGGACCTGACGGCCGGGCGGCTGGTGGGCTGTTCAAACACTGCTCCCCGGAGTCACTGTTTAGGAAGAGCCAAGGCAAGGGCTCTCTCTGGCTTTATGGGCTTCTGTCCAGGGATGTGGAAACATGCTGCGTGTCTCCATTAAAAATGGTGTTGGTCTGAGCAAGGAGGTCTTCCGGAAGGACCACAGAGCCAATAGAAGTCCCAGGCAGGTAAAATAAAGAACGTGTGTAATGGAGAAATCAATAGGTAATCTGCTCCAGCAGTTTCCGTTAGGGCAGCTGGGCACACTAGAGCCCTGGTGGGAGGGAGGCTGTGGGCGCCCGGGTGAGCAGCTCCACTCCTGGGGGGGGGGGCGGGGAGCAGCCCCCTGGGTTTGGGACCTGGGAGCAGACAGGCCGGTGCCCCAACCCGGGTACACGGGGTGGGGGGCTTCTGGCGGCACGGGGTGGTCCTGGGACGACAGACACTTGTGCCCTGTGCACGAAGTCCGTCCCGCCCCGCTGCACCCTGGGCCCCTCCCCGGCGGTCAGGTCAGACCCTGTCCCGCCCTCCTCAGGACCTGCGTGTCACGTGACAAATGGCCTCCTCCCAGAAGGGCGCTCTTGTTGCAGAAAAACACCAGCTAATGAAGGAAGAAAGGACAGAATGGGGAGGTCCCCAGGAAAGTGGCGCAGCCACCAAGAGTGACACAGGCCGAGGGAACAGGCGCCGAGGGAACAGGCGCCGTGGGGACAGGACACCAGCCCCGCCAGGCTTTCTGCCCGGGCTGTGTGACGTCCACGAGGGCACAGGGCCCGGCGCGGCCTCAGCCCAGCAGGGCCTCGCTGCGAACGCTCAGCCTCCGGCTCATCCAGGCTTCAGGGTGAGCGTCTAGTTGCGGAAATGCGGGGTGCGGTGTGACTCACTTCTTCACGCAGTGGCACAAACAGGCGGGTGTGTGTCAGGGGCGGAGGGCCGCGCGCAGGTCTGGGTCTGGGCCGCCTGGACCAAGCCGGCCTGGTCGCAGCGCCACCGACGCCACCTGGTGGTGGGAGGGAGCGGCTCCCGGCGGGCTCCCCATGGCGGTGCCTCTTTCGCAGGCTTGCGCAGGCCGAAGGTCGGGACGGGAAGGGACGGGACGCATCAGTTCGCTCTCCACACCTCAGGGCAAAGGACTTGTCAGATGGAGCGGGTGTTAGATGTGAACGGGTGTTTAATCTCGGGTGCGTGGACGGGGACGCATTTTGCTATTCCCTCTGCCTTTCCGTATGTATGCTGGAAAGCTTTCATGAAGGAATTAAAGATAGGAATTCACGATGAGCCTGCAGTAGGACTGGCCTTTGGCAGCTTAGAACGCTGGGTTATCCATAACAAGGAAGACGTTTGGGCTGCTGAGGCCGGAGGACGAGTCCGAGTCCCGGAGAAAACCCATTTCGTCTCGCGAGGCAGCTGCTGGGTGGCCTACAGCTCCCCGTTCTTCCTTGTGAGCAGTGGCTTGGAAAACGTGTCAGCTGACAGACTATGGCACCCAGTATCCCCTCTAGCTAAGAATGACCACTGACTAAATCCTACCTGAGAAGATGTAAACAGGTGTTCTGGGACGGCTGGAATAAAGGAGGGTTCTTGAATAAAGATCCTTTATTAAGGGTCCAGACAGTTTCTTAATTTAGAAGAGGCAGGGCATCTTTTTCTTCTTTTTGCTGTCCTGCTGCTTGTAAAGTTCTTGTAATGGCTGGGGCTCTTGGAGCTGCTTTGCACCACGAGGTGCTCTGGAGGATGAAAGCATCCCAACACAGAATAGAAAGACGGAAGGACCTGGGTCTTTGTTGACCATGAAGTTGTCTTTTTTGGCCCCAACTCCTGGCCTTGGGATTCTTTTTGAGAGAATCAAACCCTCAAGCATTAAGTTTCTATGGTAAACTCTGTGTGACTGGCAATTTAATACAGTTTCTAAGCAATACAGGCCCAAATTAAACTAGCTTTTCCTTACACCTCCTGGACAGATCCAGTGTAGCTGTGAGCTCACCTTCCTGTTACCCTTCTCTCTCGTTTTCTTCTTGCTCCTATTAATAATCACTCTGAAACGATAGCCACTAGCATGCTTCATGTTAAACTGTCCAACATGGATGGGTTTTACTGTATCATTCCATCTGCTCCTCCAGGGCCAGAGGAGGTGAGTACAGACAACAGCTGGGATTAGAGGCTGGATCTCCACCGCTGCGTTGACATGCTTATGCAAGTCTCTTTGAAAACTGAGATTAGGTGGAGAGTTTTCTAGAAAAGGAGACATGACCAAAACCATCGCAGAAAGTGGGCCCACTCCAAAATAAGAGCACCAGACCCACAGCCACCCAGCGGCGTAACAAATGTTACAGGCACGGAGGATGGCCTCATGCCACCGGCCCCGGAGCAGTGTGCACATCAAGGGGCCAAAATCCAGAGTGGGATTCCCGGCAGAGGGGAACAGTAGGCCTGGAGCATGCAGAAAAACACGAGGAAACCTCAGACGTCAGCAGAAGACCCTACTTCTTATTCACAGCCCAGTGTGGACACACACCTGTAATCCCAGCTACTTCAAAGGCTGAGGCAGGAGAATCACAAGTTTGAATCTCAAAATAAAAATAAAAGGGGCTGGGGATATAGCTCAGTGTGAAGTGCTGCCTTCAATTCCTAGCATATGCATATGTCATAAAACCCCACTGCTTCACGACTGGAGGCATCTCTGGGACAGAAGGTCCACCATGACACTCACCTAGCAGGAGATGAAGGAGGGAAGGACAGACGTTGGACGGCAGGGAGGGAGGGTGGTGTTTTGGGGCCTGCAGGGTCCTGTGAGGCTGCCTCTGTCTCCAGAAGGTGGGGTACAGCGCTCGCCCTGGGAGACTGGGGCGCCGCACATGGCACCACCCACCTTCGCCATGGTGACCATGCCCTCGTTGGTGATGGGGTCGGTGCGGACGCTGAAGTGGCCCGAGGGGTCTCCGCTGATGATGCGGTAGACGGCGTTCCAGTTGGGCGAGTGGGGCTGGTCGCGGTCCATCACCGTCAGGTTTGCGACCACCGTCTCCACGCGGTTCTCGGGGACCTCTCCTGCAAACTGCAAAACGCAGGAAGGGTGGTGTTACAGCCTGATGGATGCAGCCAGGACTCCCCGCCTGCCCCGGTGCCGGTCCTGCTGGGTCCAGGTCCCCGGCCTGGCTCCGAGCCATGTGATGATGCAGCTGCTCCACCAACCCGCACTGGGCCTGGGCAGGCTGACCCCAGGCTGTGGGCAGTGGTGTCCGGCCGGACGAAGCACAGGTGGCCATCATGGCTGCAGATGCCCTGTCTGTTCAGGAATGAAGGAACCAGGGAAAGCCTCGGTGAAGTGCACAGACGGGAGTGGGCTGGCCCCATGTCCCACACAGGAGCCACATGGCTCCCACAATAAGGCGGAAAGCCAGTGGTGGAGGGAGGCCCTGGCTGGCCCTGTGCAGCACCAGGACCTGGAGCTGGCACCTCAACTGGAGGAGGGACTGGGAGAGGACAGGAAGTGGGAGCCACCAGCATGATGGAGCAGCCTGCTCGCAGGCAAGGTCCCCAGGGCTCCCCTCACTGTGCACCTCCTGACCCAGGTGCTGGTGCTGGGACCTGTCAGCCCTGCGCCAGGCTTCTGAGGGGTCTGGGAGGCTGACGTGGCCCTGAGAGGGGGGCTGCTTGGCTCACCCTCCTGTCACCAGCTTCCCCAGGGCAGCTGCAGGAACTGACGTCCAGGGACAGACTAGGGGGAGAACCCGGCACAGCATGCCAGGGGGATGGACTCGCTGGAGGGGGGTGCATGCTGCCCAACTGGGATCCTGCTGCCCTTGGGGGCCCTGGGCAGACAGAAGGGGACGCTGTGGAGAAAGTGGGAGGATGGAAGGAGCTGGTCACCCTGGCGGCGGGCCGAGTCCGGGGCCTGGTGTGGCGGCTGAGGTGACAGCCCCCAGGGTCCCACACCTGGGAGCAGAAGGGGCTCCTACCAGTGGGCTGGCTGCAGTCCCCCAGCCCCGGGAGCGGCGACTCCCACATTCCAGTGTGTCAGGAATTCCAATGTGGCCGGGCCCCTCAGCTCCCAGAGCAGCACGCAGCGAGGCACGGGGTCACCGTGCATCTGGCCCAGTCCTGTTTGCCACCCGGCAGCCATGTGCCCGCGAGCTGAACCTGGCTCGGATTTGTCCCCTAGGAAGTGGGCACTGTCTCCTCTGGTCACAGCTGAAGCCAGGCAGGCTGAGCAGGGGCTGTCATCAGGGCCCGGGGTGCAGGAGGGCAGGAGTGGGCACAAGCCCTGGGGGAGCTGAGCTGCCCAGCCCCGCTGTGGTCTAGGGAGGCCGGGCCGTCTGCTATAGGAGAGAGCGGGGGATGTGCCTCAGTTTCCCAAATGGAAAACCAGAGCAAGGCACGAGTCTGCTGACCTTGAATGTTGGGGGATCCTCAGATGCGGGAGGAATTCCTGCAGGACACTTTAGAAATTCTGTGGGAAGGACAGCCAGTGTGTTCACATCCATGGCTTCCAAGCAGGACAGAAGAAAGAGGGGAGGGGGGAACAGCTGCTCACTGTGTGTGATGGGGAAGCTGAGACAGGAAGGGAGATAAACCCAGGCCACGCGCCCACCACTGCCTCTTCCAGCCAGACCTGCCTCCTAACACCAAGTGCTGTGGCTGGATCTAGAGTGTGTGGCTGGTTCATGGTGCAGGGTTAGGATGGAGGGTGGGTGAGTAATAAATCAGTCCACTGATCAGCCCACTGCCCCAATCCCGGTAGCCTGGATGGAGTATAAAAGGGGCAGAAGAAAGTTGCTAAGGCCCCTTGGTTGGTTATTTTGCTGTCTTCTGCCTGCCACAGACTGTTTCTCCTCCGCGGTGCCCTCTGCCCTGCCACCCTGCCTTGGAGCCAGCTGACTATGGACTGAAACCTATATAGACTGTGAACCAAATATACCTTTCCTCCTTTAACTCTGGGTGTTCGGTATTTTGTCTCAGCAGCAAGAAGAGTAACTAAGACACCAAGTCAGTGACAAGACTCCCACAGTCCATAGCCCTTCCAAAAGCCCTCTCTGAGCACAGGAGGCTTGGGGGATATCAGCCAGGGTCACTGAGCCCTGCCGCTGTCCCAGGGCCACGTCATCCCCAGCTTCCTTAGGGACTGGGGTTGGCTCGGTCTAGTCCAGGGGCTGGGAAACCCCAGGGCCAAATCCAGCCCTCATGCTACTTTTGCAAATAAAGTTTTATTGGCACATGGCCCTCCCAATCACGTACACATCCTCTACATCTGCTCTGCTGCTTTTGACACGGAGCTGAGTAGTGGTGACAGATGGTGTGGTCTTCATCTGTCTCTTCACAGGAAATGGTTGCAGATCTCTGCTCTTGACCTCTGTACCCCTCCTTAGTAACTGGGTGTGGGCACATGATCCATGTCACAAGACCTATGTCAGCCAATCAGGACTCAGCTCTGGTATCCCTACTTCTGGGCTCCACATTGTAACCACGAAGGTCTAAACCTGGGGAAGGGTGGGGGCTGACATACACACCCAAGAACAAAACCAGCCTAGAGGAAGTATGGTTGAGAGGAGGGTCCTAGTGATGCTGTTGGAGCCTGGATCCAGCCACGCCTGAAGTTGTCTCTCCTGGGGCTTTTCAACTTCTGTAAGATGAGGTGTTCTCTTTTTGTTCAAATTGCTAAGATCAGCGTGGTGACACTGGTTGGGTTCCTGGCTCTCCAGCACCCTCCGAATGCCCTTCCTTGTTTTTCAGACACACACTTTCTGCTCCCTCTATGGTCATGATGACTGAGATTCAGGAGCGCAGCAGGGTGGGGCTGCGGCTCTGTGGTTGATGGTGGGGACAGCAAGGACCCTGTGTGGAGCAGCTCCTCGCCTGGCATGCCTGGCCCCTTGCATGCTGCAGTGGCTTCTCTGCAGCTCAGCTGCAGGCCCTTGCGGCTCTGTCTGTCCCCTGGCTGAGGGTCCGTTTTAACTGAGGCGAGTCACTGCCGGCTCACAGAGAAGGGCTCCGCAGACAGAGCGGTGAGGGTTTTCTCAGTTACCTTCCTAGGCATGCGGGCTTTCATTTTCGACTTCTCAGACTTCGGCACAGGGAGAGCCTCTCATGCCGGGGACGCAGAGGTGGGCATCCAGGAGGAAGAACCGACCCTAATGCAGGACTCAGCCTCCAGACTGTCCTGGACTTCAGACCGGGTCTCCCTGCGCGTTCCCCGCTCAGCTCCCTGAGGGAGGTCCTCGGGGCCAGGGGGGTTGGCCGTGGCCGGGCCCTGTGAGGATGGGGCGCCCGGCCCGGAGAGCGCAGGCTGTCCAGGGCCACAAGAGTGGGTCCATCGGGATGGGCCTGGACCCTCACAGCCCGCCTGGGCTGCACGGCTGCCCCAGGCCAGGCCGCACCGTGGTAGCACAGGGCACGCAGGTCCAGGCCCCCTGCCCTAGGCTGTGCAGGCAGGGCTGAGCTCACCTTCTCCCATCTGGCTAGTGACCAGGGGCCACTCGGTGGCCCAGATTCACCTCCCTCTGAATCCCAGGCTCTGACTATTCCTCAGTCTCAGCCTCCCTTTCGGCAGTGCTGGGTGCAAGTGCTTCCCCAGCCCATTCCTCATCCCGCAGAAGCAGAGAGGTCAGGCAGGCACTCAAGGTCACAGAGCCTCAGGCGGCACAGCCGGGCTGGGACCAAGGCTGGTCTGCTCCTCATACCTCCTTCCCTGTGCGCCGCCGGGCAGCTGGGTCCTTTGTGGGACTGGCCTAGGTCTGCCCTGGCTGAAGTGGGGACCTCCTGAGCCTCCCTGTCCTTCACCACGGCCTGCGGGGCCTGGCTGGGTGACGGTGTCTCCTGAGGCAGCGCTACCCCCGGGCAGCGTCCAAGGTGGCAGAAGCCCAGGCCGCAGGCCTCACCGTGGAGACCTCCGTGGGGTGCCGGGGCCCCACGTCCTCAGACGGGCGCCTGTCCGGGGAGCTGTGGAGTCAGTCATGCCTGTCCTCTCCATCCCTCTCTGGAGCAGGGCTCCTTCTGGGCTCCATCCCTCGCCAGCGGTGTGCGCCCCAGGGGTGCCCGTGTGTCCAGAAGGAGGCTCATGCCCTTGCTCCGGAGCAGGGCTGAAGGGCAGAGGCATGGCTCTGCCCGCTGCCCTCCACCCGTGCTGCCAGGCACCAGGACTTGTAACTGCCCAGTCCCCTGGAGCCGTCCAGCTGCCCGCAGAGGCCTCGCCTTGCTCCCCCCCAGCGTGTATGGCCTGTAGGCCCTCAGGTGCTGGGCTCCAGCCTGCAGTGCGGGCGGCTGGCGGGGGAAGCCCTCCCCAGCCGGCCCTGCCAGGGAGCAGACTGGCGTTGTTGTCTTTCTCCATTATTAATAACGTAACAGTGACCGCGCTGCTGTTACTGGGCTTCACGGAGTGTCTCTGTGAGCCAGGCAGCTGCCCCGGGACTGGTGTCTAGGAGCATATGCAGTCCTGACGCACTCAGTCAGGTAGGAACAGATGAGGAATCACAGGCACAAAAGGCCCTGGACCTTGCTCAGGTCAGTAGCCTGTCAGTGGGGACCCAGCTTTGGGGCTCAAGAGTCTGCCTCCAGTGCCCTCCTTGACCTCTGTCCCCTGTCTCCCCAGTGTGGCTCAACCATGAGGGCAGCCAGGGGGTCCAAGGAGCGTGGACAGAGCACCATCAGCTGGGGACACTGAATTCCTGAGTTACGGCCAAGGGACGCACGTTTCTTTGGGTCCTTGCCTGGGCAAGCTGCTCTCGGAATTGGTTCCCTGAGCTCCTCCCTTTCTGCCAGCTCTGCTCCCTGGTAGGGCCTGGGTCTCAGGGCCCCTGAAGTGGGGCTTTCCTGGGCTCTGGAGGCCGCAGCTGTCCCCTGGGCGTGGACACTGGCCTGGTGGGAGGGGCGGGAGGCGATGTCAGGTGGGGACAGGATCGCAGGCCCCAGCTTGGGGCCCGCACCTTAGTGTTCTGAACAGGTAGCTCCAGTTAATTACTTATGGCTGAGGTTGGCAGCGTGTGCCCAGCATAATTAAGGGCACTGAGTCCACTCCAATTTTTTTGTACCGGTAATCGAACTTGGGTCCTTGCCCTTGCAGTGCAGGCAGCGTCCACTCCAATTTTAAGATGCCAAGTTCTTATTCTCAGGAACTCATGCTGAACCAATTCTCTTCTCCCAGGTTTGTGCACTTGATTGAAAAGCTGGGAGTCAGGGTTGGCCTGAGGGCGTTCATCTTCAGGGAGAGTGGTCAGGGCAGCCACTGGCCAACACTGCCTGGCCAGCACAGCCGGGCCCAGGGTAGCGGCCAAAGCGTGGACTGTGTGACCCCAGACAGTCTGGTCGCTCTGGAGGACTGCCCTGTACCTGTGCTCTCTCAGGTCCTCAGGGTGGACATTTTCAGAAGAACCTCAACTCTTGGAAGCCACAGAAACACAGCTCCCAGGCTCCTGAATTCACTGGACCCCTGCCTGTGGCAGAACCATTTTTACTCCCAACAAATGAGCTCTGTGTGTAAGCACTAACTGAGCTGTGGGGTGGGTAAGTGTCCCCAACCCCGCATGGGTCGAAAGCTTGGCCCCCAGCCCAGGTGCTACTGGGAGGTGGGGCCTAGGGAGGAAGAGAGGTCGCTGGGGGCATGGCCTTAGAGGTCTGTGGGCCACCAGAGGGTGAGCAGTGCCCTCTGTCACACGCTGCCCCCATGATGGTCTGCCTGGCCACAGTACAGTACAGGGCCAGCCTGCTGTGCACTCGAGCCACAATAAGCCTTTCCTCCCTGTGGCTGGATTCTCTGAGCATTTTGTCACAGTGACGGAAGAGACCCCCTGATGGCTGGAAATCCGGGGGCCGGGCATCGTCCTCATGCCTGCTGGCCTCTTGTCCCATTGGGAGGTGACTTGTGGGGACCAAGATGGTCTTACCACCTCCTTTTAAGCATTTATCCCAGTTGTGTCCATGCCTTGGAAGGGGAAAAAGATCATTGAGCACAAACAGCAAGAATGAAATGCCTCATCGTGCGCAAGTTTAAATTGCAGCAGTGCACACCCGCCTATGCCCTCACCCCTTTCTTGTCTGAGCACTCAGGCCCGGAAGGCTTTGCTGGCTGCTCACGCCCCTCCCCTGGTAAAGGCTAAGCTGGGAAGGGCGCCGGGCCAGTGATGCCCAGGATGAGGGCTGGTGCTTCCGGGACAGTTTTGGAACGGAGCCTATGGTGTGGGGTGTCCCTTCAAATAGACCAGGGGACTCGCCCTTATGGAGACAAGTGTAAGACAAATTAGAGACAAGTGTACAGTGGGACAAATGTGCTGAGCTCGGGGTGGAATGGCCATCAGCCCAAGGCCACACAACTAGGAGGGACCAAGAGGGGCCAGACTTCATGGGTCCAGGAGCGCACTGGAGTGAAGGATGGGGCTGGCCAGGCCAGATCGGGTGACATTTCCAGGGCTGCTCCATGCTGGGTGGGACATGTCCCCCAGGGCTTTGAGCGGGAGACCCCTGGCAAGGGGTCTGAAGGTTGTGTCCCACCCCCAGAAGGGAATGCTGGTGTCAGGGCCGACACTGGAACAACCAGGGTTGCCCCTCAGTGGGCAGTGCAGCTGAGACCCGAGCAGGAGGGAAAATCACTTTTAATTAACTGCTAAGAGCAGGACCTGGTCATACAGTCTCCTGCATCTCTTTAGTTTCTGCTGATTGGTCTTGACTCAGCCCGATAAAAATAGCCCCACTGTGTCTGTGCCTGTGGCAGTATGGCCCGTCTGCCCCGCCCACCCCTGCTTTGAGGAGGACCTGCCAAGGGCCTCCTGGAGCCACGTGTTAAAGATGGCTCCCTGACGGCTATGCAGGTCTTGTCACAGAAGGCAAGGACTCTCCATTTGTGGGCATCAGGACTGCAGTTCCCTTGTTTTGCCCCTGCCCTAGTGTCCCAGGGAACCAGGTGTCTCCACTCCTTGCTCTGGGCTGCAGGAAGGTAGGAATTCTCCTTCGGTGGTGCCCCATGCCACAGTCTTGGGTCAAATGCAGAACTCTGTCTCAGTGTCAGTGTGATTCTCGGCTCTCATGTCTCAGAGGTGAATGCAGACTCGGGACATCCTGTAGGTCACTTCGATGTCCCAGCACGAGGAGAGGCGACCCTTGTCCCACAGTTTCCTTCCTCTAACCCTCCTTGACCCACGGGCTGTTCCCGGACATGCACGGGGCCTAGTGGGACGTTTTCAGTGTGGATGACCTGCCTGAGGGAAGACAAGCTCTGCCCGGGGCCCGTGAGGAGGTGTAGGGAGCCATGCTGGACCCTGCTCAGGACCTGCAGGCAGAGCCGGTGCAGCAGCAGAGCTGCCCTTCCACTGAGCTCAGGACAGGGAGGCCTGGATGCTGAGGACTGCTTGTGCTTTTCTGCTCTGCACCTCGATGTGGGTGATGGTCCAGGTGCAGACGAGGGTAGAGCCCAGGGAGCACCTCAGCCCCGCACAGTGCATTTCCAGAGCAGGCAGGCCAGCAGCTGGTGGGGCCACACCGGGATAAGAGGAGGGCTTACTGTGGGTCCGGGCAAGTCAGACTTCAGGCAGCCTTCTTGGACCTAAATGTTGGGATTTACCCAGGAACCCCTGGCGGCCTGTGATCCCCTGCAGGCCAGGTCTTTGGGGTCTCCTGCCAGCGCCCCTTGCCTGTGATGCTTCTGTCCCATGGGCCTGCTTCTCCAACACTGGCTGCTGTGGTGCATCCTCCCTGATATTGGGGATGAGACCAAAGCTGGATCGGCCTAGGCTTCCTTCTGCCTCACTTTCCGGGGTGATCACAGGGCCTGAGGCTGTTTCCTGGGGCGGTGGGGGTCCCTGCCGCACCCACCCGAGCAGCCAGCTTCCAGCAAGCAGGCTGGTGCTGGGCTGGGGGTGTCCCGGAGGCGCAGTCAGAGCACCCAGGGTGCCCTGGGGCTGGGGAGCCAGTTGTGCCCGGTTTGGGACTGAGGTCAGCGTGGGCAAGCTCCCAGCCCTGAGTGCCCAGCCCAGGCCAGAGCTCCCCAATTGTCACAGAAGGCGGCAGCAGCCCCGGGAGCAGAGGGAGGAAGGACAGCGGTCTGCCAGCCAAAGCTTGGGGCCTGGCGCCTCTGTCTCGCCGCTCCACTCCCCAGGACCCTGGCCCTGGCCCTTCCTGTCTTTGGCCACTGCAGGAGAGCAGACTGCGGTTCGGGGTGGGGTTCCAGTGTCCCGATGGCTCCCTGGCAACAGTGCAGTACACACTGCCGGCTGCCTTTGCTGCCAGGGTCTGTGGGGAGCACCTGGGGCTCCTGTTCCCTCCCAGTCGCCCAGGCTGCAGGGTCTGGCCGGTCCCCCCACCCCGCAGCCATCTGCCGTCCGCCCACTGGATGGCACTGTGTGTGCGTGTCCCGCCGCCCTGCCTGTGACTTGGGGACGCTGGAGGGTGGGCTCATGTCCAGGTGCTGTGGTCTTCCAGACACCTTCACAAGCCCCCTGGGAAGGCACAGCCTCTTCCTTCTGTCCCCTCTGGTGGCACGGCCGCTGGGCTCCAGTCCCCCAGCTCCTGATGGGTTGCATGGCTCAGTGGCTTAAGCACTCCCAGTCCCTGTGTCCCGGCCACCACCGGTTCTGACCTTTGTAGGCTTGATGGGAGGCCCAGGCTGGCGCAGGGGAGCTGGGAGGGGAGTCACAGATGCGGCTTTTGCTGGGTCGCTGTTACTGTCACGGACACATGACCCCTCCACTAGGCCCTGGCGGGAGAGGTCACCACAGGGAGGCCGGGGCTGTGTGGCTGTGGAGCCGGGGCCCTGGGGGTCCTGGGGGTCCTCACTGGCCCTGGCCTCGGCACGCTCTGGCCTGGCACCTGCGGCCACCTAGCTGGAGGGCACCCTGGCTGGGCCATGGCCCGCCGCGTAGGCACAGTTCCCAGAGAGACAGCCTGGGGCACACAGCACTGCTTGCTCAGGCATGGCCTTGGAGTCCTGTGGGGGTGCTGGCGAGCAGGGACATGGCGGAGGCTGGCGCCCCCTGCAGCCCCTAGAAGGCACAGAGTGGGCTCTGAGTGACCCCTGATCTCACAGGGAGGGACCCTGCCTGTGGGATGCCTACTTCCTGGGGCTCCAGAGGAAATGAGAGCTGCATGACTGGCAGAGCCATCTTCAGGGGGCCAGGTGTACCCCCTGAGAACTGGGGGAGTGGACGCACGCATGTCCTCTAAGGCTGACCCTGGCCACAGGCCCTTGGGGACCAAGGCAGAAAGAGGCCCCCGAAGGCAGGGAGGCACCTGGCCCTGCCCAAGGCCCCAGCAGGGCATCCCGTGGATGCCCGTGTGGGACCACCCCTGCCCAGCCGCCTGTGCCCAGGGCTTTGTTAACCACGGGCTGCCCGGCCCCTCCCATCAGACACAGCAGCAGCGAGAGGAGCAGACGGCAGCGATGCCAGGGGCTCACTGCCTCCCTCCATGTCGGATTCGCGTACTCACTGTGCTCGAGGTGAACTCTGGCGGGTTGTCGTTCACGTCTGTCACCGAGATGATCGCTGTGGCTGTGTTCGAGAGGCCATAGTTGAGATTCCCCTCCATGTCGGTGGCCTGGACGATGACTGTGTACTGCTGGACTTTCTGGAGAGGACAGATGCGGAGGACAGCAGGTCAGCGGGTGTGCCCCCATTGGGGTTCCCAGCACGGAGCCTCCCCTTCCCTGCCGAGGTGATGGGCGGCGGGAGAGGCCGTTGTGTCTCCACCTCAGGGGCCCTTGATAGGAAGGGTCATCTTCGGTGTCGAGGTGGGAAGAGCCAGGTGCAGACAGCACCAGCTCTGCCCTGGGTTTGGAGGGGCAGAGAGGGCAGTTGGCAAAGTGAGACACAGGCTGCAGCCAGTGCTGGGTTGGGATGCTGCCGCCTGCGTGTACACCGTGTCCAGCTGCACTGCAAGTCAGAATTCACGAGGAGGAAGGACGGCCCTCTCCCTGTGCTGCACAGCCCTGAAGGCATAGTTAGCATGCAGTGCAGGTGCAGGCTCCAAAGGCAAATGCAGAGCCATGGGGTGAGGGCATTGTACCAGGCACGGAAGGAGCCATCACAGCACGTCCCTGCCCACTGGTCCTCAGGAATCCAGCCAGCAACCCAAGTCCCCAGGCCCCTTTCTGATCAGACGTCCCATGCTTCCAGCAGGACAGCCGAGGACAAGCCTGGCAGCAGCTCTCTACTGGGACCCACACCTGCTCCTCGTGGTACCATGGGGTGGGGAGGATCTCAGAGACCAAGGTAGAAAGGGACCCTCTGATTGCCCTCCACGGGCCCTGCAATCCCGACTCTTGCTCCTCTCAGAGGTTAAGGGAAAAGACCAGTTCCTGGCCCTGTGACTTAGTGAAATGTCCTCAGTTCCATATATTGGCTCCATAAAAAATTGTAGAGCAGATGGGCCGCAGATTCTGTCTTTCCGTGCATCCATCTAACCATCTACTTCCTGCCCGCCACGTTCCACTTCCTGATGGAGTCAGGGCTTCTAAGGAAGCAGCAGGGCCCTCACCTTGGAAACTTTCTTCATTTCTACCCAAGTTTCTCTTGCTCTTTACAAATCCAATTTTCTTCTCCTTCCCAGACCAATTTGGAAGTTTACACTTCAGGGATTCTGTGCATCATTCCAAAATTGGGCAGAGCAGGGGACTGGCCAGACTCCGGCTGCCCTTTTCGGGGGCCACTCCGAGGCTCTCCCTGCGTAGCAGGCGTGGGCTCAAAGACCACTCTGTATTTACTGTCTACATGGCTGCCAGCCTTCTCTCCACTGCCGTGTGGCCTTACAACAGGGGGCCAGTCTCACAGACTCAAGGATGACACAGGCTGAGGTCAAAGGGGTGACCAGAGAGGAGGAGAGGCCCCTGGAGAGAGGCTCTTGGGCTCGGCAAGTAGCCACCGCTGTCCATGGGAGCTGCCCCGGCAGCTGTGCTCAGAAGGTGCTGGAAGAGGACACTTTAGAAACACAGGGACATGGGCCAGGGATTTAGCTCAGTGGTTCTGCCACCTGCCCTGCAAGCGCAAGGACCCGAGTTCGATTCCCTGTACAAAAAACAAACAAACAGGGACACAACTGTGCTTATGCGCACGGGCACGCATATGTGTGCAAACACACATAGGTGTGACACACGAGTATGTCCCTGTGTACACGTGGGTGCACTTCCGTATGGCTGTGGCGTGTGTGTGTGCGCACGCGCGGGTCTCTTCGGGTTTGTGTGCATGTCCATCCGTGCATCCAGTGGCCACTAGAGGGCGAGCGGAGCCTGCTTTTGGGAGGCAGGACAGGGTGTTTCCCGGCCAGGATGGGGAGGGAAGCAGTCCAGTAGGGAGGAAGAAATGCGGGTGGGGATCCCACAGGACCCCAGTGCTCCCACGCTGGGGCTCCGACCATCGGGCAGGGGCAGGCTAGGCCCAGGCCCGGCGGTGTTTTCAGGAGCACGGGGCAGGCACGCTTCCCTGTTGCTTGCCTCTGAGCTGGAGGGCTTGTCAGACCTGGTCACTGGCGCCCTTCCCTGGGGTGTGGGCGGGGTTGGGGGTGGTGGGCAGGGCCCAGCAGTGCCCACACGCTCTCCCGAGGTGTGCGATCTGCATGCATGGGCTGGCTGGCTCTTTTGGAGGGTTCGATTCAGCTAAGGGCTGCTGCAGGACTCTGCTTCCGGGTCCTAATGTTTGTTTGCTCCTTAGTGAAGGGGGTGGGGTGAATCTGGTGCGCACAGGGTAGGACCCGGTGCTCTGGGGCCCTCTGCTCCCCAAGAGACAAGATGGCCATGTGTGCACCTGCAGCCGGGGCCTGGCCCTGGGCCACCTCTCACAGAGTCCAGCACCTTGTCCTGGGCCTCGTGGGGCTGCCCGTGGTCAGCCTCTGCAGTGGGGCAGGGCTGTGGGGCAGGTCTACGGGGCAGGGTCACCCCGCTGGACACCTGTGGAAGCGGGTGGGCTCCCTGCAGCCTGCCTGGCCTGCTTCCCAGTGGTGCCTCTTGGCTCCATTGGGTACAGAGAACGGGGCAGAGGCCACAGGGTCAGCAGCAGAGCAGCAGTGAATTCATTAAAATCAGGTTTGACCACGTTCACGTCTGAGAGCAGGGAAGAAAGCCACAAGCAGTTGTCCCCCACAGCTCAGCATGCAAATTCCACAAATATCCATCAGTAATGCAGTGCCGGTGCCCAGAAAGGATCAAAGCCCCGGAGCGAGCATGCGCAGCCTCACGTGACATCTTCCCACACCCAGCCTGTGGCCACCTCACTCTGGGACAGCAGGTCTGAGGAGTCGGCCTGTGGCCTGTCACCCTCTGGGCTGTGCTTGGAGGGTCTTGTGAGCCTGGCCTGGAGCCCAGCTCGAAGACCCTCTCATCCCTTCCCCCGATGGCCAGGGCCTCTGCTCGTGAGTGAGCAGCCCTCTCCGGTGGGGCTTCCGGGCCTCTTCTGAGCGAGGCAGTCACTGCTGGAGCGCCCAGCCCCTGTGACCCTGAGGGATGGGGCAGGTCCAGGCAGCCCTGCCCTGCCTTGCCTCTCAGCTGGTGTGTGCCAGGGGCTAGAGGACTCACGGGGTGGGGCTGCAGAGTGGGGCATGCAGGGGCCTTGGAAACAGAAAAGCTGAGCCTTGGGTTGCAAGGAGACCTGGCCACTCCGCTCCTGGTGTCTGTGCAAAAGAGCCGGCAGCGGGCATCTGGAAAATGCTGTCACCAGGCTCACTGCAGCCAGACAGACATACAGCAGGGCCGGGGCACCCGGGCCACACTTGGGGCACTGCACTGTGGACGGCACTCGGGAGCCTGTGCCCATGACAGCTGCGACCACAGAGTCCACGCGGAGTGCAGGCATCGACTGGTGGCGCCCAGGGTGGGCTGGGAATCTGGGCTGGCCGCTAGGGAATGGGGCCCTTTCTGGGTGACGAGGACTCCAGGACCCAAGGGCGGTGACGGGTGCCCAGGTGGGCATGCACCGAGCAGCTGCCATGTCAGATGGGGCATGGTGGCTACGACTTCCGGCCCAGTGGTGCACCGCCTGTGTCCCCAGGGGTTCTGCACCCTCCGCCCGCTGACCTGGCTCTCTGAGCTGGGGTCGTGTGATGCTGGCAGCAAGGCTCCCTGTGGGGCCTGCAGGACGCCCAGGGACCCCCTGCCTCCACTGCAGGCTGAGCCCCTCCCTGGAAGCTGAGCCCCCAGCCCAGCCCCCCAGTGCCCCTGTTTCCTGCCTGGGTGCAAACCCACGTGGTCCAGGGGTTCAGCAGAGCACATGGGGGACCCCTCTCTCTGACTGATTTCTGGGCTCCCTGTCTGGGGCCTTGGTGGGGCCTGAATCTCCCCATGGGGCGCCCTGGCCGTCTGTGGATGAGAACCTTGGTGCTGAGAGGCCATCTGAACTCAGGGCCTTGGCCACGGCAGAGCCCAGGGAGGGCGACCCCTGCCTGGGACATGCTTCGGCCCTCTGTGGACTGCTGCCCTCTGGCCCTGCCCCCAGGACCAAGCTGGAAGCCCAGTCCCACCTGCAGTGTCAGAGAAGCACATCTCCGAGCCTTCCACCTGCCCTGGGGACACCAGGATGTGACCTTTGAGTTGGCCCCAGGGTCTTGCAGACCCCTCAGAGCTCCCACTGCTCTCAGCTCCCTCTTGTATGACCAGGTGGGCTGCAGGCAGGTTTCTTGCCTCGGCCTTGGCTGCAGGAGGGCAGAGCAGCAAGGTCTCCACACCCCACAAATCTGCCCCAGCACAGATGCGATGGCCACTCCCCCACCCCGCCTCTCCCTTTCTGCCCCTGTCTCCCACTTTCCCTGCTGGGCACCAAAGGAAGATGGGCTGCCAGGAATGCCTTCCGCGTAGACGCCTCAGAGGAGCGGGGCCTAGGAGATGGCTGAGGCCTCCAGGTCGGGCCCACCCTGCTGAGGACCCCTGGGGCCCCAGAGGGACACTCCTGTGCCTGGGCCCACAGCCGATGCCTCGAACCTCTGCCTGGGCAACGTGCCCTCGTTCTCCAGGGGCTTGGAGCTCCTGGCCTCCTGCGGCTGACACTCTAGGTTGGGTTTTCCCAAACCTGGGGCTGGGTCTTTCTCTGTGGTGAGTATTGATGGCATCCCTGGCCTCTGCCCACGAAGTGCCAGGAACACCAGCCCACAGCCCAGTGGGACATCAGCCCTGGCTGAGAAGCAGGGTTTTAAGGGAGGAGGCAGACAGTAAGTAAGAAAACAGCAGGTCAGGTGGTGACAAAGGCTGCCAAAATATTCAGCAGGAGAGTGGGACAGAGTGGTTGGAGTGGAGCTGTTAGTAGGTGTGGGACAGGGCCTCTGCCAAGTGGGTCTCTGATCAGCAAGCTCGAGTGAGTGAACAGCCAGTGCAAAGGCCCGGGGGCAGCATTGGGTGAGCTCGAGAAGGCATGCGGTGACGGGGGAGTTGGGCTGGAGGGTACAGAAGGAAGGTAGCTGGGTCTGAATTGGACTCTGGGTGACACAGGGACACATGGGAGAGTTTGTGGGGTGCACAGGGATTGTACCAGCTGCTGAGGGAGGGCAGACGCAGGGACAGGGAGGGACACCAGCAGGCCTCGATGCAGTGTGCTGGTGGGGTAGCAAGCATGAAGGATGGGCGGGGGTGCGGGAGGTTGGCTGGGGTG